TCTCCAACCTGTACATTATGTTTCAGCGGAAAACTATTTATGTACGTAGGCTGCTATGTTTCTATATCTACGTTTGCTTATCTTATTTTTGTTGAATCGATGTTGATTTTTGAGGATGAAGCTTTGGGCCATTCTCCATCAGCACATGGTCACGTGCAAGTGAGCTCAATGCAACGCAGAAGCATGACCCCGTCAGGGCCCCATGATCACATCGCACGTGGCCATACATGACTGCTAGAATGTGCTGCGTCGAACATGAAACTTATCATCGTCGTGACAGCCAATGCCGAACATGAGACGACGTGGATCCAGGCAATCGACACGTCCCTTCATGTAGCTGTGTAACCTGCGTCATCTGAGCTTGTGTTGTATGACACATGCCCCTGTGCACGTGCGTCTTGTGCTAAATCTTGAAGTGGCAAATTGTGACGGTTCACGTGATTTCATGCGAATCATGTCACGTGACACGTGTGTCATGCACATTGTGACCTTGTGGCAGTGAGTCAGTGAGTGTCGGCGAATGGAGACAGTGGCAGACAAGGAAACATGCAGCGTCATGGCAGCCATGGCACTCCGGTGTCATGCTTGATGTGGAGTAGCACGTGACACACTGTGGAGACTGCGGATGCGGCCAAAGAAGCTGACCGACTGCACGAGCTTCTGATCGGCACCTTCAGCTACTACTATTCAACCCAGTCGAAACACTCGAGCCTAGCCGTTACATTTCTAGTCGTACTGGCTCGTCCCAACATGAAATCAAATACGAGCATCGCGTGGAATCACCTGTCGCCGCTTGCGAACCTAACCTAGACCCATGCATCCCGACTCCTGCACGACGAGCTGACAGTTCCGACGCCTAGTGTTTCATGCCTCTTGCCTCGGACCTAGGAACTGCGATGACATCACTGCCTGCATGACAGCCACTGCACATCAGAGCATGGCCTGAATCCGTTTCCCCCAGCCTCCATGTGGCTCTGCGGTGATCACACTCGGCCTCAGACTCAGAACACTCTGGCACTCGAGTTTCTGCTAACAGAACTGACGCAAAACCACAAAGCTGGAGAAAGTCGGAGAAAGTGACACTGATGCTGAGCTTACAGTTACACTTCCATGATCAATGATTCAATGCTACGTGTTGTTGCTCTCACTCACAGCCGCACCGCCGCACAGCAGCCCTTTTCCACGTGGCCAGTCTGATCCAGGCCCGAGTGACTCAAGTGATGCCAGTGCTCACTAGTCGAGACTGAGTCACGACTCCAGTCACGACTGACTAAGACTCTAGAAGGTCCGCCTGACAAGACTGACAAAGACACACTTGTCCAAAGGCCCAAGGCCCTAGGCGAGAACATTGTCATATCATCATGCATTACACAACACTGTCGGACCTCCCACGAGTCGCGTCATGTCATGTCATGCATCATGTCATAATGGCCAAGCATGTGTCAAAACTTACAAGCCCTGGCAAACCCTTCTCGATAAAGCAGTCGTGTCACCATGTCGCCATGTCGCGTGAAAACCATGAAAGTCCATGACTCGCCCACAGTTCATGTCACGTCGCTTGAGACCGTGAGACAATGTGAGATGAGACGATGAGATGAGATGATGTGATGTGTTGAGTGTGTTATGACAAGATGCCATCACATGACGAATTTCAACGACGACAGGATGGCACATAAAGGCTAGGCGGCCCAACACCAACTGCGTCCCACGTTTGGGTTCGGTACTGTTACACCGTTACACCGTGACTGTTACACCGTTACAATTACACCGTTACAGTTACAAGGCCTGCCACAGCCCCTGCACTAAGCCACCCTCCGCGACTTATTCTGGGTCTGCTCTGCAATACAGCACGGCACATCATTCAATAGCGCCTTCCTCCGCCGCTCAGTGTCATCGTCGGTCCTCAGATGTTTGATGTTCGCAGGCTACAGGGGCCACACGCATAACGGTTGACAATGGACCAGTGATGCCCGTACCGCCGTACCGATCTAGAATCTAGAATTAATCTAGAATCTAGAACCAACAGCAATCTACACTGACACCGCCGAGCTACAGCATGCATCTCAAAACTGACGACTGACACCTTTTCGTTCAAGGACCAAGGGTCCTACGGTAGTCCAGCCCCTCAAGCCCCTAAGCCTAAGCAGTGTTAAGCAGACAAGCCCGTCTGAGAAGAAAGCCCCATCCCATCCAAGGAAACCAGACCCATCTGACCCTGACCGCCCCGCCTCGAGGACTCAAGGACTCAATGCCGTGACAGTGTGATGGTCGTCTGATGATGGTGACAATGTCAAAGAATAACTCAGCACCGACTCATGAGAATTGTTTTCAGCGTCAATTTCAATTTCACCGTTTTGACCCACAGTGACAGTGGTCTGAATCATGAATCATCTGACTCTGTACTCTGCGGCACTGTGGGTCTGTCAGAGTCTGTGGGTCAGGGTCAGTGGTTCGAATTCGAAGACGGATGACGGATGCCGGATGGCATCATGCTACCCCGTCACCGTCACTGTCACACCACGTCACCGCTACCACGTGACAATCATCACACCTCAGAGTCACATCTCATCATCTCATCTCAAATCGACACGGTCACGGTCACATCACATCACATCATCACAGCACATCGCAGCGGCATCCCATCGTGGCATCGCGTCACTGCCACATTGCCACATCACTATGAATCGCTATGTGACTACGTACTATGTAACAGACATACCCTGTCCTACCCGGTCCTACCCTACACTGCCGTGCACTACACTCACTACACTGTCTACACTGTCACTACACTGTCACTACACTGCACTGCACTGCATGCATGCATACTGACACATACTGACTCGACATACTGCCTACTGACGCTCGAATGTCGAACGTGTAACATGAGACGCGGTCATGAGTCATGAGTCATGAGACAGACATGAGAAATCATGAGAGCGTGAAAACACGTGCTGCAATCTGCAATCTGAGAAGCTCGGGCGCTGTGCCCGCAGACTCGACGCTGTCGCCAGCTTCATCCGGGTCATCTTCATCCTGGATTCCATGCTTATATGACAGAGCTGACAAACCACGAAGCACGAAACATAGAGTAACACAGAGTCATAGAGACACTAAGGTCACTAAGATCGAGGAAAGCATGCGCACTCCAATCTCTCACGCCCGCACAGACACAAATGAATCCACATCCCACAGCTTGTCACGGAATGGGCATAGACGTGACATGACGTGATATAATTAAGTTGTGATGTGCAGTTGTGCATGTGTATATATATATATATACATACATAATGTATCGTATCGTGTATATACATAACAACACATAACACTCACAACACATAAAATGTATATATATATGCATACTTTAATCATATGTTGTGAAACAATACAGACAGATAGGCTTACACTTTACTGACTTTACTGTGTGTGAGGACTTTACACACAATCCATATAACGTAAAAACGTATATGTAATATGTTATGTACGTGTTATTGTATTATAACACCCGGATGCCAGATGTACCCGCACACTGCACACTGTGTGCCTGTCACTTTCGTGTTTCGTATCGCTGTATATATGCATATACAACCCTAAACGGACCCTAAACCCTAAACCCCTGCTAAACCGTTACTAAACCCCACACCCTGAACCCGAAACGCGCTGCAAACACGCACAAACATGCATATATGCGTACTGCGTATTGCATTTGTATGTATGCAAGTTTACATATATTTATATCATAGTTATACAAGTCATATAGGTACGAGCAGCATACATTGAATATGACGCACACACATACGCATACCAACACATAAATAATAAACTAAACACACAAACCAGACAAACCATACAAAATACATACATATGTACATATGTACTACGTACGTACGTAGGTAAGGACGTACATACATACATACATAAATACGTATGTATACAATGCATACATACATGTACATATAGACGTGTATATATATATATACATTTATACGATATATGATTCTAGACCATATATATATAATATATATATATATATACGTATCTATTTGTATATGCACGATGTCGGATTCATAACGTATATATTAATATATGGAGAGAGATATACAGAGAAAGAGAGGGAGAGTTTGTACATGTGTACGTATGTGCAGACAGTCACAGAGTCACAGAGTCACAAACGGTCACAGACTACACAAGCGCACGCACAGACGCACAGAGAGAGAGAGAGAGAGAGAGAAAGAGAGAGTCGGCGCACTGGCGCACTGGTAATATCGCCTAGTATCGCACCGACATAGAATGCAATATCTACGCCAAGTGGCTCCAGCGACGGGCCCAGTGCTGCCCTGCTCGAGCGCCTGCAGGAGATATCGGAGATATAGTACTTAGTACTTAGTACCTGGCACCGACTTCGTGACTCAATCCATTTGAGGAGTCCATTTGTGGCCTGCGTGGGTGCGGGCATGCATCATCTGTGCTGATGTTGATGTGATGAGCGTACTGCGTACGTCGACATGATGACTGGACCAACAGCCGAACCTAACAACCCAACACCCCAACACTGGCCCCAAAACACAACACGTTCAACACTACTAACACATGACTAACTTAGTACTTAGTCACGTGAAAAGCACCGCACAGCCGACGTGTGAGACGTGCACATCACGGAATGAAACCCAAATGACATGATGAGGTGACGACGTGCCGGGATCACTTGATTCACTTGATGACAATCGACGAGTACGAGAGCCTCAAAACAAGTGACGTCATTGGGCCCTTGGCACTGTGGCGTTTGAAAGTAAGCAATGGACCGAACGGCCGAACGACCGAACAAGCCGAATCAATGAATCAATGAACAATATAAACGCGGGAATTCCGCGAGAATCACTTGCTAACATCCATGTAGTGACATGCGGCACAGACCGACTTTCCACAACCCCACACAGCGAGCAGCCCCACCACCAGTCACAGCCAAATAGTGTTTTTTCACAAACGTAGGAACTCCTGTGGATTCACTGGATTCGAAACTGCAAGTCGCTTAGCTTCATCCGATCTGTACAGGCCAGAGAATCCGTGCCACGAACGTGAAAGGCAGTGATAATGGTTCGGGTACCTTCCCACTCATGAGTACCGTGCAACAGGTGAGGGTTGAATCGCACGGGTCGTGTCAACTCATGCAGCTCGCCAGGCACATCATTGCCGCGTACGCGGCGCATCTGTGAGCCCCCCGTCTGCTCAATCCAGATTTCCCCGTGGTCCCAGACAGAGCACCGGATCACCAGGTTATGACTGCCTGCCAGGTTGCCATCGTCGCGATGGATGGGTAACAAGACGTTTCTGATCATACTGAGTGTGGAGAACTTGTGATCTGGATCAATTACCCCGACGATTCCAGCCAATAGGCGGCTGGCATGCGGGAACAGGTTGAGGTTTCGTCTCACACTAGACGCACCGCACCAGTAGTAGGCGCCAGTGCTAAAAATTTTCGATCCAGCCCCCCAGCGCCCGTCAACGCTGGCACGTCTTTTCTTGGCGTCGTGTGGCAGCAAAGTGAGCAACTGGTCTAGGGCCTGATATGAAGCAGCCCCTTCTGCAAGCATACGTAGCGCCAGCTGTTCTGCCGGATGCAGATTGGACGCATCAGGCTCAGGGCAGGACGGGGGTTCAAAGTAGAAAACACCGTCATGCAACCCGTGACGACGAGCTGAATCCGAAGCAGGCCGTGGCGCGACCACTGGTCCATTCTTTCCACCCATGGTGCCAAATGTGTCATCATTAGAAATTGAAATAGAATCAGAATCAAAGTCGGCAGAAGCACAGTCACATCCAGAGTCATTGTCGGACTCAAAACCAGAATACTCCGAATACATCTCAATCTCAAACTCCGGATCAGAGCCAGCTACAGCCGCTGCCTTGGCAGCATCATCCTCCGGCTCCGGCCGCCGCCGCAAACTGGGCCGCACAGATGGCACCGGCACCTCCTGGACGGGGCACCGAAACAGACTGACAAACGGGCCAGACGGAGGGGTCGGGGGGAAGGGGGGAAGGGACAAGGGACTTTGACTGACTTTGACTCGAGCATCTCGAGCGTAAACCGCTGTAAACTTATATGGCCTGCCTCAGTCTAGGAGTCTAGGTATGGCACTGGCACTGGTACTGGCGTAAACTGTAAAGTGTTATCGTTACTTAAGTGTAGATGCAACACTTCCAACTAAGTCCATGATCGATAACCATTGATAACCATGTGACCTCGGTGACCGATGTCAGTTCGTGATGAATGTTGTATTATGACTGTGTAATAGTTAAGCGGCATGCAGATGCATGGATGGGTGGATGGACCGATGGTGTGCGGGTGGATGGGATGGGTGGATGTGGATGGATGGAATGGATAGAGGTGATGAATGACAGATCGACTGATCAAGGTCGACTAGAATCTGTGGAGTCATCTGAGTGTCTGAGTGCATCTGAGAGTGTATCTGTGAAAGTGAAAGAATGTGAAAGAATGAAGGAGAAACCGGGAAGGTAAGGGCCCGGGACAGCGAAAGGCTGAAAATGTTGACTGACTGCACTGGTTGTACCTTGCACTGATTGCACTTCACTCTGCAAATCGTTAGTTACACTAGTCAGTTGCTAGACACTACTAAACACTACATCGCAGTGAGTCACATCGCAGCATACCGACACCGTCACACTGCTCACACTGCTCACACTCTCCCAAACAAATGCCAAACCCGCTATTCTACTATTCTTCTAAATCTTCTGGTGACTCTAGTCAATAGTCAAGTCTATTTATTCGATTCCTCTATACATTGGTCTATACATAAGGATGTGAGTAAGGATGTGGGATGTACCTCACTGACCCAACGCTGACTCAATGCTGAGAATTGAGAATGGTCAAGATTCAAGATTGCAACGGCAAGCACTCCGCTCCTGCCGCTTTGCGGATGGCCGCGCTTTCGCGGCTTTTGGGATCATTGTCATCCCAGTCTGCTGACTCTGTTGCGATGCTGCCGCTGCCTTCTGCTTCTGTGGCGCTGCGCCTTTGCATTTTGGCGTCATCAACGACATCGCCTTTGCCACTGATCCCCTGAACCGACCGAACGGCGTAAGCGTGGGCTGTATCATCGTCGGTTTGCCGTCCTGCTGGGGTCTCGCGGCGGGGAGCTTTGGAGGCGTCTTCGGCGAAGCAGCATGAGGGTTGCAGGCTGGCGCAGACGGTCTGTCTCCGACTCCAGCGACGTCATCCACTCCATCTCCATCCTCGCAAAATGCTGGCACTGGCTCTGCCCATGCTGGTTCCACTGGTTCCACAGGTGGCGGTGGCGGCGGTGGTGGAGGCGGGAAGGCCCAGATATCCGGCCGAGTGGCCGGCATTGCCGGGTATGGCACCGGCCCGGCCGCCCTCGATTGTGCTGGGGAGTTCCACTGCTGCGTCACATTAGCGCCCGTCAAATCGATTAAGGGAGGCAGCACGACCTCCGCCTTTGGAGCCGTCTGATCATGCGACTGCTGCCGCGAACAGCCACCGTCACCATGTTCGCCGCCAGGATCACGTCCAGGTAGGGGACCGGTCTCGTGTTCACGGCCTCGATTGCCACACCAGCCTGGCGGCGGTGTTTTCGGTGGTTGTGGTGTTCTCGGTGGCGTCCAGCCTGGCGGGGGTGTTTTCGGCGGTGCTGGTGTTCTCGGTGGTGTTCTCGGCGGCGGTGGGCCTGGCGGCGGCTGTGGCCTGTGCATCTGCCGCATTGCTTCCACTGGTGGAATCGGTGGAATGGGCCGGCTCAGTGGCCCCAGTGGCCTCATAGGCCCCATAGGCCCCATACCCATAGGCCCCATAGACATAGACCCCATCGGCATAGGCCCCATCTGGACACTCGGCGCCAACGCGGATGGAAAGCAACCGTGACCAAGGCCCGGCAGACCAAGGCCGCCAAGGCCCATAGGTCCCATTGACCCCACTGGCACGACCACCACAGTGGGCCCGGGCCCATACTGATCATACTGACCGCCATTGCCCCACTGTCCTGGACCCATGTGCCCCATCATGCTGGGCCCCGGCCCCATGCTGCTGGGCCCCGGCGGCCCCGACCCCATGCCCATGTCCACACGGCTGTTGTAGCTTGTCCTGATCTTCACGGGTGGCGGCGGCATCGGCGGTAGCGGAACAGACGGTTGAGGCGGCGTTGGAGGGCGGCGGCGCTTGGGAGGTGGTTCTGGTTGGGTCTTGTCAGACTTGTCAGACCTGTCGCCGACATTCCCACCCATGCCAGTCCCAGGCCCAGGCTGCTCAGACTTCACGTCACTGCTTTCACTGTCGCCACTGCCACTCCCTTCAGCACGTCTCTTCGGAGGCTGTTCATGCTGCGCACCCGAATCTGATGGCTTCTTGGCATTGCGCGATGCCTCGGCTAGGCCCACATCGGGGAAACACGGGAAACCGGGGGCCTTGGGATGGAGATTCGAGACGGTCAGGCTCAGATGCTCAGACGTGACGAGTTTTCAAAGAGATCTGAGATAGAGACTCGAGACAGCAGAGAGAGAGAGCCCACGACGATGTCTAGACTGTCTAGACTACTAACAGACTAACAGTGGCCAGCGGACAGTGTCAGCACACGGCACGGCGCACATGCACAAACCGATCAACTGCATCACTGCTGCACTGCTGCACGGACTCACACACCCACACACACAGAGACACGCAATTACCTCGGCCAAATTCTGTCTGACAGGGTGATGCGAATCTGCGAATCTGATCTGACGGCACTCGTTGGTCACTCGTAGCTGCTTGCTAGTAATGTGACGTGACACACAACGACATGCGTCAGATCTGCAATGAACTGCAAGGCTGCAAGGCACTCTGACTCCAATTGACACTCCAGTTGAAACCGGGGTGCGTCTCCATCTTGTCCAGCTCCATGAAAAACAGTGACCATGGCCACTGACAGCACTGCCCACTGCCCTACCGCCCTACAGTCCCTACAGTCGGCCCTACAGTCCGGACCGTTACCGCCGTTGCCTGTGCCTGGCCGCTCAAGCCTCAAGCTGTCTATGCCTCTGACCCCGCTCAGCTGGGCTGTACAGGCTGTACTGAGTACTGTGCTACAAGTTAAAGTTGATGAGCCATTTGATCAGAGGTCGCGCCGGGTAATCGTCCATGGTCCATGGTGTGATCGACACAGCACAAGGCACAAGTTATAGTAACTTGTCATGCGGGGGCCCGCAGTCCCACGGCGGCACACGACACGACACGACTGACTCTGGAAGTCCAGAACTCTAGTCTCATACATACAGTGACAGTGACATCTAGTCATCTAGTCTGACGATGCAGCAGTCGCTGGCAGTCGTTGCTTGCAAGTTAGCTAGCTGGCTAGCTAGGAACAGTAACGTCACTAATTACACTGGCTGGAAGCGACAGACAGGACACATGCAGCATGACGGCCCAAGTGACAAAGTGATGATGATGATGTTGATGATTGTCGGTAGTCTGACGTGTGACAGTCATGTGTTCATGCGACGCATGCGATGATATGATGATGTGTGATCATGTGACTGTGTTCACTGTGTTCAGCAACCAGGAACCAGAGCTTGACTCGGTGGACTGACTACAACACTTAATGACAACAGTCGATCAGCGCACTCACAACAACAACAACAACATCAACATCAACATCAACAACAGCAACAGCAACAGCAACGGCACAGCGATGGCAACAGCAACAGCAACGGTACAGCGATGGCAACAGTAACAGACACAGACAGACAGTGACAGTAACAGTAATGGTGCCACCCACCACCACCACCACCGCCAC